AAAGATTTTTGGCACATATGTAGAGTTAATATATCTCTATAAAGTTACCGGTCAGATTTTTTTAAAACCTCTTAGAAAAAAAGTTATAGCCATTTAAAAAATTGAAACACTTTGTGTAACCGTTGAGTATAGGCTTCCAGCACCATAGTAATAACATCTATGTATAGGTGCCTGAAGTTTAGACGTTGACTTGACGAAATGACAAACTATGAAGGAATTTCTTGAATTGTCGCTATTAAATCTGGATAATGAGCCAAACTAAAACCTTTCATTTCAATGATAGTATAAATGCTCAATAATATAAGCCATAAATCTGCACAAAATAATAAAATCAAAATCCTGTTAACCTCGTTTAAAATACCATAAAACAGTATATACTGTAATAACCTATTCCAATTGAAATAACTAACATAATGATTATTAAATTTGGTTCCCCTGAACCAAACCAATAAACCATAAAACTTATCAAGCATATAAATAGCAAAAGGACGATTATAAATGGAATATGAATTTTAATATCAAAATCAGACATAAAAAAAATTACAATCAAATAGGCAAAGATGCCGGAGATTATCACTGAACCGACCCCGATAAATATAGAACCAATAGTTTCCGTTAATAATGATTGTCCAGAGAGTGGAAAATCTAACGGAGAAATACCAAACCAAGTTTTGTGTGTAATTAACTCTGGACGACTAAACTGTTTTATTAATGATCCTATTATAAATGATACTATTCCTGCACTACTGACACTTATTAAAGCTATTGTTGTTTTGTTAAAGCCTTCCGTTGTATAAAAGAATATACAGTAGGTAGAAAATTTAAACATAAGAATATCAGTAAGATATCGAGGATTACTATATTTAACCAACATGCGTCATATTTATATGTTAGAATTATGAGAATTAAGTGACCACAATGTGATTAATGTCGTAACAGGATCGTAATTGATTGAGATGAATAATCAATGCGTGAAATGAAATTAAAGCATGGATATAGAAATGACCAATATTCTTATTCACATTCTTAGTTGTCATTTATGATTTTCAAAAGTCGACTTTTGTTCATTATACACATTTTGAAGATGTTAGATTAACTGAGATATGAATAATGTTAGTGCATGCGTTAGTGAGTCATGTACTGTGTATCGTCAGAATAGTAAGGTTTGAAGCAGAATTTTTTACAGTAACTCACAATAGAGACCATAATAATTCTAGCGCGAACTAACTCAACATTAACCATATATTGTGATTAGAATAGCGAGCAAGTTTGTATGAGGAATTTTTACAGTAATTCATGATATAAATAATTTACAATAATCTCAATATAAACCAAACCTTAGGTTTGTAACAGAATTTTTTATAATAATTCACGATAGAAATTATGACAATTACAATACAAACTAACTACTTTTTCATCATTACCGGAATGGCAAACTCTGAACAAAATGTTTAAGCGATAAAATTGGGATAATTCTGATGATAACCAACATAGCCTCATAGAAAATACAAAGAATTCTGATGCAAATTAACTCAATCGTTCTACTGGTCACCAGAATAATGGGTAAGTGTTTTGAATTTTTTACGTAACTCAGAAAAATCATGAAATTCTAATGCAAACTTACACGATCTTAATCACTTACTGTAGTCACTGGGATAGCAAATAATTTCTAAAAAAATTGGTTTACCTTATCTGTGATGTAAATCCTGGTAATATTAATGCAAACAAACTCAATTTTAACTATTATGTACTGTGTTTTTGCTTTTTTCAATTAAGTAAGATTTAGTCAATATTTAATTTTTTGTGAGCTCTACAAATCCCACAGGCAATCATCTAAATTTGCTATATTTTCAGAACTCATTTTATAAGTATCTTTTTTTTTGGCATTTTATCATATTTATTAAATGGATTCTACAAATATAACAAACTTAAGTGATTATATATAGTGGCTTTTAAAAATAATATATTACCTGAATATAAATTTTTAAATGCCAAAATCTTGTAGTCTAGATATCACAATGTTACAAAACTCTTAATTTTAGATTTGTTATATCTCGATTTTTTCATATATATAAAGAGTTCTTTTCTTTTCTTTCAAAAATTTACATGTTATAAAGGAAAAATCACTATGCATTTTTTTTGACTATTCTAATAAACAAATGTTAAGCTATAGTATATAGTCTTTTTATATTTCAAAACAACTCTCCTGCAATATATAAAAACTATACCTTGTAACATACCTGACTTTTATACAAAAACACAAATAATATAATTCAATTGTCTTTGAAAAAAAAAGCCTGTATCTATGCCTTTTTAGAAGAAAGATACTCAACCAAACATGTAGTTACCTACAAAAATATTTTTCAATTAACCACTATAAGAGTCAGACTTTATATAGAGAAAACTAATAGCTTAAAAAACAGTGCAAGGCTCTCAAGTTAAGTATAAAAGCTATATCTTTCCAAAACACACCAATATAAATATAGGATTTGTTGACCAAATTTGTGTTTCAATCAAATTTGTATATTTTAATCTATTATTAATAACTTACATTCTAATAATTCAATTTTAGTGATTTTTATACTATTTAAATCCTCTTATAAGAGGATTTGAAGATATCAATATCGAATTATTAGAACATGAGTTATTAATGATAGATCAAAATATACAAATTTAATTGAAACATGAATTTGGTTAACAAATCCTATATTAAATATTTGCTAAAAAGTATCAATCTTGAATAGTAAAAATTAAAATAAAATAGTATATTCAGATATGATAAAGTTTATAATTTTTAGTTTCGAAGAACAAGAATATTGCTAGAGAAAATCCAAAGAACTATTGAAAGATCACCAAGTTTATCTAACAAAAATATAGAGAGAAGGCAAGATTATAGTATAAGGTATTTTATCTCAAATTAGAGTTCCTAAATTTAGTTTAGTTCAGGTTCAGGTTCAATGAACCTGAACCTGAATCTAAACATAAACTACAAATTTTGCAGATCATTAAACCTGAACCTAAACTAAACTTTGAATTTACAAACCTAAACTGAACTTGAATTTAAAGTTTTGGTCACACCTTCATGCTTTAGCCTCTTTTTGGTAAGTAATTTTACACAGTGCTAGAGGTGTTCTAAATCTGGTAAAGCTAATTCTTTATCACAAATTCCTTTGTGTTTACCATTTTTCTCACTACTCCAATTCTAATTACTGCCCGATCATCATCTCAAGCAAGATCTCAATACTGTCTTAGGGTTGTTAGTGCTATCTATGCCAACTAAGGATTTATACGTACATTCTTTGTATAATAGAACCTTTTATAACAACCGTAGTTACACATAGTGCCAACTTTTCTACAATAGATCTCCTTTTGAAAATTCTTAATCCAGACTTGTACTCACTTGAAATTTCTACAGTGAGTATATTCAAATATTTGTAGAATTCTCATCTACTAGAAATTGAACTTGAAACTCACTTGTAAAGGGTTGGGTGTCTAGACTACTAGGCCACAGGATCCCAACCTATAGAAAGTTTAATATTTAATTATATATTAAAATATATCTTTTATATATAATAAGCTATAAAATAAATTAGTTAATTTTGATACTTAACTAAAGATTTATAAAACTTATTATTTATATTTGTCTTTAAGTTATTAAAAAAGATAAATAAGTTATTACAATTTTTACAAATTTTGAGATAGTCTAAATAGCAATTATCAAATATATACTAACTAGAAGCAATACACAAATCAAATAAAGGCAAATCAGACACCAATCAGCATAATATAATTCCAATATGAAACTGATTTGAAACAGATATTTGGCACAAATAGGAGACTTTTAAGATACAAATCAGTTTTATATAGATTTTTAATATATATCAGAATATTGATAGCTCTATAAATAAATTGATAAAGCTTACTTTATAGCTTTTTCGATTTATCTATAAAGCTATTAGCATTCTGATATGTATTGAACATTTATATAAAACTAATTTGTATTTTAAAGGTTTTCTATTTGTGCCAAATATCTGTTTTAAATTAGTTTCATATCAGGATTATGTGATACTAATTGGTATCTGATTTGCTTTTATTTGACCTGTGAATAGCTAATAAATAGTAAGTATAAAACAATGTCTATTAATGATACTTTTAGATTAGTAATAAAATTAGATCTTATAATATAGGTAGGCAATATAAAAATATTATAAGATAATAATATATAAACTCTAACTCTAACTATAATCTAACCTTAATTCAAACTATAACTCTTACTTTAACTTTAACTATTTATAAATTTGCTTAAATTAGTTTAAATAGTTATTTTTATATATTATAATCTTATAATAATTCTAAATTGCCTATCTATACTATAGATCAACCCAGTATCCTTTCAAATATATAATAACTTTATAAACTTTATAAGAAAGACTTATTTAATATATATATTTTAATATTTAATCATTTAAAAAATTTTATTAACAACTAAATACAAAGCAATTTAAACCTTTTTTTATTTTTTCTAATAACTTTTTTTAGTTAAATAAATTTTAATATTTTTTATATTTTTATTTTTTAAAAACAAGATGTTGTATTGATAATAAATTTGTCTTATTTTTATTAATTTTATCTTAAATATATTATCTAAATACTGTTATCTTGATATAATAATCTAAGAATCAAAAGCATATCAAGCCATGTTTAATTATATGAACATTCTTTTTAGCTTTCAAAGATTTTAGCTAAGATATAAAACCTCAAGGATTTAATAATAAATAGAATATATACTATCTTTAGCTAAATATGATTATAAAATATATACTCAATTAAATTTTAATTTAGAAAACCAGATGATGGTGAAAAGGACATAATAATCGAAGTGTGTAGTTTTAGAATTGCTATAGTGCAAGGCTAACTTTAATTAAAACATAGATATTTAATTAATATAAATATTTTTTACTTTAAAATATCAATGTTTAATTATTTTTTAAATATATTAATGAGTTAAAGATGGTCATTAGAGAAGGTTGTTTTGACATCGGAGTTTGTGTTGGGGCTTTGTACAAAAGATTTTTAGCAGAAAAACATTTAGTGCAAGAAAATCTAATAACATTATTATTACAACTTATAAAAGCATGTGCCAAGATATCTGTACTCTATAGAATAATTTTCATTTCATTTTTTGTAACTTTTATATTTGTGTCATATATTTTTTTGTGCTTTTTCTTTTTTTCTCATCAATTGTATTGATAATTCTAATGAATAAAACACATAACAAAAGTTTAACATGTCATAAAGAAAAATTTTATTAGTGGAAGTTCATTAACCGACCAAGGGTATTTATCATTCCAATCAACAAGAAATAGAGGCCCAGACGTCCTTTTTTTATCATAGAGTTGTGCTTATTGGTCGAATTTTCATTGATTGATTAGAAAAAATAATAGTTCAAGTACTTCACTCTTTTTACATTATTATTATATTATTACTGTATTACTAGGAAAATGCATAGTATTATGGGTCCAGAGTGCATCATATGGTGATCATATTATTACACAAATTACAAATTTGGATTTAATT